CACTCGCCAATAACAAGAATTTAATGGCGCCAATGTTCCGTTAATTGGAGATACCTGTTTGCAACTTGCATTGCCAACCTATACAGGGAACTAATATCGAACCGTGGCTACCGATTGCTTTTGATCAATTAAATAGCACTTCAGTTATTATGTTCCACTCTGAGTGCCTACAAGAAATTTATTGTTTTTGCAAATAACCATAATTACCTTCCTTCTTACTAATAACTTTTCATCATATTTATTATTATTAAAAAGCGTCTAAGTATCTTGGTATAATTAATATTCTTTAAGAAACCTCAAGCAAGATATTCACAAATAACGAGATCGCTTAAGTAATGCTTAGCTGAAGATTTAAAGAGAAAACAAAGAGGAACTTGATAATTCATTAAGCATAGTTTGTGCAGAAGTTTTGAAGCAGTCTGATCAATGTGGATAATTAAAATGCAAACAAAGTCTAAAAATAAAAGTAGGACTAAATGAAGGTTGAAGCTATGTTATGAAACCTTAATTTTAATCAGATTTTGCGGGTTTCAGTATGAGTAACCGTAGAGTACGATGTGAATGTGTTTGCTATAGAGAAGTTGGGCGAGCCCGACAAGCAAGCACGGGTAAGTCGTCGCGCTAATGCAAATTAGTGGAATCACAATTAGCGCTCGATTGTTGTTCGCCCTGCAACTTGCATTTAGCAAATGAAACAGCCAGGTAGAAGATTCTACAAATAAATTATGGAATGGCACACTCTGTTTTCCTTCAATTCTACTATCTGCTACGTTCTCTGCAAAAACGTTTCAATATTGCCTGCAGCACCCACCGCAATGATGCAATATTTTATCTAAGTAATGAACGTTCCAGTGTTTGCACTCGGTTTCATGTTTTCGGTTCATACTAAATCATTTTTCTGGAATGAATGCAAATTTGTTTGCACCATAAAATAATCCTTGGCAGTCGGGTAAAAGGTGGAACATGATTTATATTCAGCTCAAAACATTTAAACCCCATAACATGTAGACATACTTTTATTAAAAACCTCTGCAATTAATAACGTGCTACAAGACGAATATGTTGAGCTATTTGTACAGCAAACAAAATGTCCACGGAATGTCCCTCGGGTTGACAGATGATGTTAAGGGCAATTAATCTTGACCAAATATGCGGGCGAATTGTGGGTTTCGCCTTCGTAGCTAGTAGCGACGGTTGTGCGATATTCCAACGCCTTGCGTGTTTCTCTCTCGCGTTTATCTAGAAACAGTAGGTAAAGCATCACTTACACTTTGGAAAAATTACAAGCTAACTGGTTCAAACTGAACAACATACATTTTCTTTCCCATTTCAATATGTTGATGTAAAGTTTTATTTATAGCCAGTAAGTACCTGTTCCAATTCTAATAAAAAGTATTTATGTATAATGGTCATACCATTTTGTTAGGACCACAAAGATGAAAATAATACCTCAACGTCCACTTTCAGAAAATATTTAATGGTATCTGAAAGACCCCTGTCATTTTCAGCGTATCGTCGGATTCACACAGTTCAATATTTTAGAAGTTTGATCTTCGTGTTATACGAGTTTCATGGTAGCATTATTATGCGGGTTTTCTGAACGGTGCCTGTGACGACGAGGTGTGGTGAACGAGCAAAGTTATAATAAGTTCGTCCCTTCATCTCGAGCGACGCCATTGTCTTTTGATCCTATATAAAGGCGCTAACACTACATACGTTTATTTTTGTCACGAAAATAAATAACTGCTTTTTACCTGTTCTTACATGTTTCTTTTGTTTTTCGATTATGGTAAATTGCTTTTAGGAATATATATTACTTAAGTATCTTCATTTGAAATGTCCTCTTTTGTTACTAGACTATCAATTTTCTTCTCACTAAGTAGTTCAGTCAGAGCACGTGTTATAGAATGCGTATAACGCCAGTCATTCAACACAAAGTCCGGCTAACCCTAATCATTAATAGGTAATTCGGCCCGCTATCTTTCGTGAAAAGGGCCAAGGGTTAACTAATAATTGTTTTCGCCCGTTACCCGTACTTCTGTAACCCGTCCAGATCGTTTACGGTCATTCTCTTAATGAGATTAATGCATCACTATCTTAGTTACTTCGTTTGTATTATATTTCGGGTGATACATCTACTCGTATGCATTAAGATTATTTCTTAGATTTTTATCATTGTCAGATCTCATTCATAAATGTATTTTATTATTGTTATTTCATCATTTAATATTAGGATAAAATACGTTATATTTACATTGGTTACAACATTTAATTCTCGTCAGTACCGTATATTTATTGTTATTGGATGTTGAGACTTTGAAGATACTTCGTGACTTTTATTACATGTTACGCACTGTCATTGAAACTGGGATATTACATTTACTTTGGAATACTTTACCTGTAATCCTACTTGACGTTTCTTTTTGTACCAACTTATCGCTACACGAAGTTTATCGTCAGAGCCATTGCTACGCTTTACTCGGACGTTCCCTTTAATTAACTACCCCACTTTTTCTTCGCCTTCTACTCATTTCACTGCAATCATTCTTGTCTCTAAATAATTTTGTTTTAAAGCAGCATCTCATTTTCGCATAAAAATAACATTTTACAAGGGTTGGATCCTTTCCAGCTGTAAAGGACGTTAATTTCGATTTAAACTTCTCTGGCCTAGCTTCACTGTCGAATACTTTTAGAATAGTAATTTTGGTTCGATTTAAAGATGTTGTATAAAATGGTCTTATATTCTTAGCAGGTCTTTCAGGCCTGGAAAAGGTTATTACATATGGCATTTCCAAATCCTGGTACACAGAGAAGGTTTTTCTTTTTCAATTTACATCAGTCCCTACGATTTTATCGGGAGCGAAGAAATAAAGCACGTCCCGACAGTGAGCAGTTTGAATTAACCTTTCGAGTAGCCTTGTAGATTCGTGGCCCGGTTACGAGCGGGTCATCTGCTAGTTAATATTCAAAGGGTCGCACAATCACGGATTCCGTACGCGTCTCTGCTCCACCGACGCTCACTGTGACCACCCAAAAAACCTCCCTTTTACTTACCAAATAGACTACCTACACTGTTTGTCTCTAAAATTACGTAGACAATTTAGTCAAATGAAACAAAAATTTCGCAAACAGTAGAACGAGCGCGTCACATGAAATTTCATTAAAGCTAAAACATGTTTTCGGACAATAGGTATCGCAGAATATTCACATAAGCTCGGGACCCTCCATTACGGTTCGTTCGTTTACTGAACACAAAGACTGACGTATAAAAATTCTTTTTCTTATCAACAGATACTAAAGTAGAATATGAAAGTGTTACTTTTTTCATGTAATCAAGGCTCTGCTGGATTCGATAAACTGTCGACATGATATCATTTTTTACGTTATCTGTAAAGAAACACGAACGCGTTTTCTTACATTTTCCTCTGCCAGACTCTAGAGACATCCTATTTTGAGAAGCTAAGTGATCTCACAGACTGAAGGCCACTATTGACAACTTTTTAATGTGCTTTCCATGTTATATAACAACAATAAATATTTTATGTCTACTTACCAAACAAAGGTTTTCCTTAATTTAATATCTCGATATCATTTTAGACAATCCAATAAATAAAATTGAGAAAACGTGGCACTCAGATTCAAATGTTATACGTCGATCATTTCATTATTGTATAAATCTGATTTCACGTTCATTAGTTAACTTTTTGATCAAATTTAATTCAGAATTTTGAGGATTGTTCGTTCAATTTCACGGTTGAATGGATTTGTTTCGGGACTGCAAAGAAATGTTTCAATGTAAGCCTACATTCAAATAATGCGAAGAGGGATTTATAGGAGCGGCCGGTCCAAGTAAAGTATTCACGATTGAATAATTGAATAAACACAGATTCAAAGATAAATCGAAAATGACTAATTGATTAAATATTTATTTTATATAGCTTTAACTTTCGTTCTCTTAACATTTGTCCTTTGAGGCGAGATAGTAGAATAGCTATTTTTATTATACGTAATCATTATGCCAGTTCCATTTTTTTCCTGTAGGTGTATTATTTTGACAAAAACATATGAATCAATTTTACACATTACACTATCAGCTGTAGCTGTGGGAATTCTTCAACATCAACAACCGTGCACGTTACATTATCGTAAATAATAAACAAATCAAAACCTCTCCCTCTCTGTTGCAAAACATCAGAAATTAAGAGTACCTACCTATCTAGCTAAATTGCAAAGCACTTAGGTACACTTAAACACCTAGCCTACGATTCCTGTTTTAACAGTAATAAAACCTTCCCAGAATAACTTATTGCCGTAAGGAAAGTTATAATCAAGCACTTGTTCTGTTATAATTAAAATTTACGACTAGTCAGTTCCTAATTAATGGCAGTTTCTATGGTTATATCATAGCGACGTTTATAGTAGGACTGTTTCATTAAACAGTCCTGTCTCTTGTCTCGCTGTTTTCTTTGTAGAAAGATAAACTAATAAAATATCAATATAATAAAGCATTATTTTAGGAAAAGAATAATAATAAAAAACCACCTAAATCAAGTACTTACCCCTAATGGCAAGCTGTAAGCTGAAAATAATAACACTTTTGTTTTTGTTTGTTGCAGATATCACCGATGAGCCGAGGCGTAGTAGACTCTGATCTGTCCTGGAGACGGATGCCGTGAGCTCTTTACCAAGGAGCGCACGACGTCGGCGTGATGAGCACAACCCGCCATAATGCGTCGGCGGCCACTTTAAACCGGGATCGGACGCGTTTGTCGGCTCGAGATGGCCGTCAATCGCGGCGAACGCGCATTCAGCCTCCCTGCGCACGCGCAATCCCATACTCCACCGCGGCACTATGAAATGTGGAAACACGGCAAGTGGCGACAGAAAACGTCACCACCAAGGACAAACGCAGCCGTTAGGGTTCCGAGATAGAGACTTTGTATAGTGAAATCCTTAGAGGCCTAAGTGTTACTTTTGTGTGTAAATATAGTGGTGAATAGATGTTAAGGATGGCGGGCGAGAGTAGAGGTGTACGTGCGCCGCTGCTAGAGAGCGGTGGAGCAGAGTATGCACATCCGCACAAAGCTTCGGCGCCAAGATGCTGCTTCTGGCTCGCAAGCCACGTGAACGTGAGGAAGTGTGTCGCCGGTGTCATGCTGCTATCCGTCCTCACCATATTCTTCTATACATATTACGTCACAGTACCTCTCACTAGGTAAGTCAACAGCTTGCATTCACATTAATCTTCACTGAAGCGAACTACGTTAAATGTTTATTAATGAACATACAAACAGAAAGCAAAAGTGGACTGACCGTGTTGTGTGCAATACAAATCACACGAAGCACGTTATGATAGTCAAACCGCGATTTATTGTTTCTATTATTCTCTTTCATAATTGAGATGTTAGTTAATCGTAATGTATTCTTTATGACATCGAATATTTAACTTTGCTCATTATAACATTATGTTCATTAAAATTTTAGCGAATCGCGCCAGAATTTAATTAATTAATCTAGTTGAAAATATGCGCCATTGGCATAAAATCCAATTTGCTTCCTATCGGCAGCAAACACGTAGTTGATACGAATTAATAATATGAAATTATCGCACTCGGACAGCTCTTCGTTGTGTCACACAGTTATTTATTGGGATTAGCTAGGAGTTAAGTAGATATTTATGTTGTCCGCTTATTATTTAACTATTATTTTCTATTTGAATTGATAAATAACAATATAAATTCAAAGTAGGCCAACTTTCCTGCGTATAAAATAGCTTATTATGTTTTAAAAAGGTTCACTTTTATGTGTAAACCCCTTTGACATGCAAGAGACGTTTTCATTTTATATCCTAAGATTTTACGGAAACGTATTTGCATAAACTCATCCTATTCTTATCTCAGTTGAAGTACACGTACAGAAAACTCCTATTTTCTGGGTGTCTTCCGGTCGCATAGAAACGAATTCAAGTGTCACAAACATGTTATGGAAACACCGAACTCGTTCAGTTAAACATATTTACCTTTTATTTCAATAGCAAGGGATTCATTATGCATAAAATTGGCATTTAATATCTAGAGGAAATTGCTTCGCGGAAGTATTAAAGACGTTTAACTTTGTGCCGAGCGTCCTTGTCGCCCTTTGTTTGGCAGCTTTTCGCAGCTAAATTAGGACGAGGAGGCGAATATTTCAGAGTAATTTATAACGTGATTTTATGTAATTAGGGCAGATGGCGTGTAGCTAGGACCCATAATATTTTATTTTATCGGCTTAAAATTACATCGCCCGAGATGAGCGGCAGGGGCGGTAAGTTTCGCCGACTCAGTTCGATTTATAGCAAAACTTGTGTTCTGGCTAATTAATGGAAGCTGCTTCGCTGCAAACTCGCTGATTTAAGGGTGTATTGTATTATGGAACGTTTATTTACTACTAACCCCCAATTGAGTTTAGGTACTGTCCAAATTTTCGCTTTCGTAATTTGTATGCAAATCTCGCCTCATTAATGCTAATCACGCCTAATTAAGTTATTGACGGCAATTGAATACGGTATTTGAATAGTAAATAAAGAATGTATTAATGTCCGATACCTAGGCCGGTATATCTTTTAAGTGTCGTCGTTAAAGTTTCCTCTTGGTTGATTCAGGCGTGGCTTTCATTAAAGCAAAGAGGCCACAAGACTCAGCCGCGGCTCACAGGACCACTGCCGGCTACGGATAAAATATTTCCACAAATTCCTGCCTTTATTTATTTTACGCTATTGAGATAAACCTTAATGGCGCTTTGATGTGGCTCCTACTTGGAACGCAGCTTTAAGTTTGGCAGTCTTTGATTGATTTTCTTGTAAAATTTGTTTCGGTGGTGACTTAGTACGCAAATGGTGTAACTTGGATTTTAATTGCCGGCTCATTTGCTCAGGTGCGGGGAAATTTCCCCAGTTTAAATTGGCTTTTTATCACAATTTTGTGTTCAGCTGTTTTATGTTTTTGATTAAATAAATCAGATAGATATGGTATTAGTGGATTGAAATATTAGGCACACATTTTGTGCCATTGACGCATGTCTATCTATCTATAAAATATCAATATGGAATAAATGAAATTCATATCATGGCGCTTCGGTAATATTAAAATCCTCTGGCAAACCTACCATTAAAATTTTAACCAAACTAGAATTTTCTCTTGCTTTGTGGGCGTCAAACATTACACACATATTACGCATCATAGATCCCGCCCACACACAAAACCCCATAATTTCTTGTTTTCAAAGCTTTTTTGTGTCAACCGAAGTAATACTGAAGGTTGTTTCATCAGACATAAGAAATCAATTTTACCATCATACGCACTAAATTCACGCTCAGTGACTAATAAATAAGATGTTTCCAGTCTGGTGTGGCGCGACCGCGTCCCGAGACCGTTGTCGCAATGCTCGTTGCTTGCGTCGCAGCAACAGGCGGCGCGCGACCATCGCTCGGACGCGCGACTTCGCATCGACGCAAAGGTGCTCGTGATCGTCGAGTCGGCCTACTCGCGACTTGGCCGCGACATCGCCGAACTGCTTGTCGCCAACCGTATACGGTAAGTTTACTCCACCTTAACAATACAAGCGTTATTTAATAGTTTTTAATATAAAAAACCTTATTGAAATATATAAGTTGTTCTTCGATAATTTCATACCTAGCTTCTTTTATGGCATCGCAAAATTTTTTTACAGTAGGTAATCTTGTAATATTCTTCTGTATCTTGTTAGGGCAAGTGAACAAATTCAGCATAAAACGCTCGAATCGCTCCTGAACATTAAACTTTTGACCGCAGCATAACGTGTAGCTCGAATTCTAGAATGGAAGTAGTTTCTCGAAATGTTTCACGGTTTATTTAACTTATAAAATTTTTCACCATTTTAAGCATTATACTCGTTGGTAGGTTCACAATTTTAAGCGAAGTAACAACTCTGAAAGTTGAAATTATAAAATATGAACTTCAAAATGAAAACTTTCTTAAAATAATACAGAAATGTAACTAGATTAACCCATTCAAAATTATAGGAATGACTTCCAGTAGCAATATCTTAAAGTTATCATGTAAATATTTACTGAGTCGGGTCTTGATAGGTGTTGTGGGGGCGATGCGCCTCCCTTTGTTTGTTTTCTCTTGTAGAGAGCGCGAGGCGATCGGTTGTGCCCGCTGACAGCTAATATGCGCACCAGTGATGTACTGCATCGGGTAGCGTATTGGGGAAACAACTTTTGTTTTGTAAAACGCTCAGAACAAGCTTTGGTTACCAGAACACCTAGAATTTTGAAATCGCTTCCGTGTTTAGCGGACTCCATGATACAAACTGGTTATTAGTTCTTAGATACTACGTGTAATTAAGTACTTACTTACTAAGATAAATGGATAACACTGTTCTTTTATTTATTTTATCTATATCTATCTATCTATCTAATATATATTTTCTCATACGTCTATACTTTCTATTTGGCTCAGTAATTAAATGATCTTTTTGTATCACTGTGATAGTAAATAATATTAAAAATCATCTCTAAATGACACAATAACGACCAAACATTTCCTTTCTGCTTCTGTGTGGTATACAAATAGACAAATCTATTAGGTGTCTGTAAACTGTCAACCAATAGAGAAACTGACACGAAGTTTAATGCGGAAGTAAAGCTTAGTAATGTCATTTTCACTATTAATAGAACTCTAAAATGTATCAGTAGATTTTACGATAGAAATTGCAATAAATATGTCTAAAGTCACTGAATTTGTTGGGCTGGGCTGCTTATTGATTCGAATGTGTATTTTATACTGAACTGCATTGCATTAGCTTACATAAAGTATGGCTGTTGTTGTCCACAAAGCCCAGGTTCGTCTATTGTAAAGTTACACAAGTTTACTCCCGAGGTGATCCGTAAACCTATATTCTACTGCAGTGACACAAAAATTATACGTGATTCTAAACTCATTCAACAACTGTAGTAGAAACAAGAATAGCTCACGAGACATGAAGGCGTAAGAAATATACTACAATTGCTTACATTGATAACCCACCCAGATCTCAAAAAAACGAGTCATAACAATGAACAGCGAAACATAAATAAAATGATAACTATAGCCATTTGAACTTTAACACCGGTAATTCCCTTTAAAGTAACTAGATCTTTGTGCTATCTCTCTACACGATTTTCCTTAATATTCATGTTTATTATTACAAACGATCATGTTTCTAAATAATAACTATTCAGTTAATAAATGGCGTTATCGTCCCGATTTGATATTAAATTATTATTAACTTCTTAGTGCTAACAGAAATACTGCAACAATTGGTCAAAACTTTTAAAACGTGATGAGTAATATAGTTGAAGTACTGAATAATAGAAACTAACTAATTCGCATTAAAGTGTCCATTGTCCAAGTAGAGTTTAAAAAGCTTGTTCATAATTCAGTGTCCATTCATCATTGATAAAATTAATTCATAAATCTTGCAGTATTAAAATGTCTCCGGTTTATTTTCCGGTCTATATATTGTGTCTCTCGGACGGCCGCCCTACTTGCGTTGATATGAGACTTTTTGCTCCTGTCGGGTAAAAATCGGTTTCCTCTCGAGCAGTGCCGTGCTTCAGTGAACTGTACGCTTGCTTATGAAATGTTTGACGGGTCAGGAATTAGTTTTCCTCCTTGATATTTTTTATCGAAGCTTTTCCCTTAGGCCTCGGGTTTTATCGCATTTACAGACTTCGTTTACGGCCTGCAGACGATATTTTTTTTCTATATCTCTTCGTTGATCTGGTATTTTATTTGCGTCTTTAACTTAAGTATCTTGAAACTCATTTTTGAGAACATGTTTTCAAAATTATTACTATTTTGACGTACGGATCCGAAACGTGGTCACGTTATCCACAGCGTTTCTAAGAAATGTTATAGATAAACCTCTTAACCTCGATGAGCTAATAAGTAGTGTGTACGCTCGTCCATATATGTAAGTAACCTTGTATTGTACATACATTATCGGAACACCCGGTTCCGTGGGCGTTCTTTATAGATATGAGTACAAAACGCAATCACCGAAAAAGCTTATCTCCGCCATTAATATTTCAAAGAAACATTATTGTAATTAGTTAAGTGATATATAAATTGCTTGATTTGTTTTTTTTTCTGTGCTAGGCAACGATTTGTTTATATGGACATGTAATATGCCATCATCGTAGCCAATAACTGGTACGATTCTAATAGCCGAGTAATTAGAGCCAAGTAATTGATTACTTTGCGACAGGGCTGTCTTTTCAATTAATTTTATAATACCTGCCTGTCTCAAGTAACTCGGTGAATTCTTATTTTTCATTTAACAGGTGGTCCTGATAATTAAGAAAAAAAAAATAGATTTGAAGCTGTTTATGTCGCCTACATTCATTACACTATTTTTTGTACTTAGATAACTGTACATTTTATTTTTACAATACTTTTATTGATTTAGCTGCTTATAAAATTGTACTAATCGTGTCTGTTATTTATTTGATTATTACTTCATGTAGAAATAGTCTGGACTGTCAGCCTAGTTATAATTTTTATTTGATTTGTTAAACTGGTAAATAGAGAAAGAAAGAAAAAAATGTGTTTTTCACTATAAATCTGTGTGATGTCTAGAACCAGAATCGTAATCCAAAAACAACGAAGACTGTACAGTTGTCGTGGAGAAATATTACAACGATTGCATTTATTTCAGTTAATATCCGAACTTTGTCCTTGAACACGCACTTACTACTTATTCACATACATACTAAAAATAATCAATGAGCTTACAAAGCCCTTTTAATAATTTTAAAGATTTGGCGATCCCAAACCTATATTTACCGAAAGTATTTTATTTTTTAAAGTAATAATGGTATTAGCTACTTATGTGTTAAAAACCTGCCCCAAAAAACTTTTACTAATTAACTAACATACAAAGTGTAGCCTCATACCACTGTTTAATGGAGGATCACCTTTTATTACATGTACACACGCATAAAACGAAAGGCTCCATTTTGTCCCGAGTGCCTGTCATAAAACTGTACCCTAAATAAAAATAGAGTAAAACAGAAAAAAAAATACTGTGACATTGCCTTACTAGCCCCAACAAGCGTATAAACGTTGTCATTTATCTAAATAAATACAAATATTTTATTTATTAACATCACTGAAACCGTATTTTCAAAAAAATACAACAATGGACGTAAATATTTGTAAATCCTGTTAAACTCCATTGTTGTCATAGAATGATTTAGCATCGAAATACTTACACAATATGGATTCAGTTCCGAATGCAAACAAAGGTTACATTGTTGAAATTCCACTTTATTATGAATTCCATTGACCCAAATATTGTTGCTTAAACAAAATTACCATGACCCGGTAATGCAGTGCGGTCTAATTAGTTGATAATTCGGACACACACCAACATTTCTGGATACGAATACGAGGTAGTAGGTATAGTTAATTCAATTTAGGTAAGGCAAGGTATAAGGTGACAGCTGAGTCGCGGCTATGGAAGGCGACACGAGCGCGAGGCGAGGCTTGAACGCGACGTCTACTCTACGGCGAGTCGTTGTGGCGACAGTTAGTTAGTTAGTAGTGCCATTAGAGGCAAGCCCGCGGCATCCCGCCCCCTATCTCGCCGCCTCGTTCTCCATTAATGCTCGTTTGTGTCAAAACGACTTAATATAAAGTAATTAAGTCGTTTTGACACTGTTTCCTTTAATCTTGCCCGAAACCTTCCTCGTAAATACAAGTAAACTGCTTTACGTACACAAACGTATACCCAGAGGTCCCTGCTACGATTCATACCGTTGAGTTTTACTTTAAAACTGAGGACAACGACTGCAGTTAATTGACTGTGAGAGAAAGATTAGGCGCATTATTTGAGCCTGTACCAGAGTAGCTTTACTTGAATGGAATGCAACGATTTAACATCGCTCACTTCACTTGCTTTAGTACAATGTAGTTTCGGTAAAATTATTTGATAACCCTCACATGTGTTCTAGTTTGTTTTCGAGTTTGATTGCTAACGTTCACTTGACCCTCATGTAAGCTTTGGCACCGTTTATTACTCCCAGCCCTCGTAAACTTCTCTTTATAGTGCACACGAGGGTAAGCCGCTTTTTTAATAGAGCGTTAATGGTAACTATACTCTCGTGTCAAGGACCAACCCTCCGATACCTTCCATATTCGGTATCGGTCGGAACCCCCTTCAATGTCATCAATGCAGTTTGAGTTATACAACAGTCCCCTTTAGAATTGACGACCTTCTTATCCTATTTCTTTTGTCTTCAAAAACATCTTTTATTACGAAAAATAAAATTGCTGACAATAAAACTTTGTGGAAGTGAGTGAATTTTATATTGACCAATTTAAAAGTCGAGTAATAAAAGTTTGTTCTAACGACTTTATGTTGCAAGCTCCTTTTCTTACTGGCTAGGTAATGTATGCCCTTAATTGAGTTCGTGTCTCACAAGGGTTTACTTTTTCAAGTACAATTGGACATGTAACGACCAACGACGGTTCATTTAGGAAGTTGCAAGTTACCATAAGTACCGAACATAAAGCAGCGAAGTCTCTGAACATTGGCGACTTGCCCTCAATTGAGACGAACCGGGGTATCTGGTAATTACTGTACTTCTCTATTTACGTTAATAGTGCTACGTAACTGGTGGAGCTTCTATTGGTAGTTACTCGAAGTTTTGTATCTTTCAAATATATTTCGTACTTGCTAACATTTACCTATGGAGATGCACTAAGGTAATTACGTAGACTGTGGCCGGAGCGTCACCTTGGCAGATATAATTACAAATGCCACACCCCAACAGTTCCCTGTGCCCACCACCTTAAAAGTTTGTAAATACGGTTGTTTAATTTTTGAAAGCTAAGGTTTCTGCTTATTATGTAAGCAGCCTTTGTAATTGAGAATAATATAAAGATTTCCTTAATTTTTTCCGTTTTCTGGGTAACCGTAGCGCAGTTATACCAGCCTCTTTACGATAACTGTCGTTATCCTAAGGGGCGGCAGGTCACCGAGGTCGTACGCCGTGACATTGCTCCCCTTTATTGAACTCACTCGCACTCCCTTATCACGAATTAGCTCTCCTCGCATTCGGTTCACGGACAAAGTAGGCCGTTTCGCGCGCTCTAATTTAAACTGAGCGCTCTCCCGGTTTAATGTCAGGACACTAATTAAGGTAATTAGAAACATGTTAGCGCAAGCTAAATAGTGACGCAGTGCTCACGTTCTTCGTTTCATTGTCGACGTAGCTTTATGACCGCCAAACTTTACATAAGCGTCTGCATTTTAAAATGCGCATGAAAATGGCAAACTTTTGTATCGGACCGTTTGCTCGGTGAATATACTAGTAGCTGAACAAAGTTGCCAACGAGTACACCGTACATTAGACGGAAAGACGGACCGACTCGAGTGGGTAAATGCTATTTGCAAGTTGCCATTCGCCCTAGACTCGGTCTGGAGTGCTCTCCCGCTGCCAAATTGAAACGAGCCTCAACTGGAGCAAAATGAACGACCTGGTCCCGATACCTGCATGCTACTTGCTACTCTTATTCCCCCAGTCGATGCATTTTTTCTGTTCCCTGACCTGTATTGAACTCGGATACTTGTCAGATTTCCCCAATATCGGTAAAATGGGTATTTTTGATTGAAAATTGGAAAGTATCCTAAAAGCGAATGTTTGGACAGTTCAATTTTCAATATTGCCAATCAACTTCAGCGGCTTGTTCACTGTTTGACAAGGGGACGCCCGATGCCGTCTGCTATTTAAACTGTACAATTTTATAAAGCGGAGTGGAACCGTCATTGATTTAATTGGTAGATATGACTTGGAAAATATAGCTTTGAATTACAAATATTTCCACTTCAGTAGCATTATTATCGCTTCATTGAGGAGAAATATTAAATCATAGCGTTGGTTTCTGTAGCCAAAGACCAATGACTAATGACAGTTGAAAATGAGGGTTGTGGGGACTTTATTTTTATTCATACAAATTCTGTGTTTATTAACTTGTTCTTAAGAATGATACTAATTCTATGGCAAATTAGTAGGAGTGCAGTCGCAACCTCGCAGGTACCGAAGGCCTTCACCTTCACGGTATTGATCCTGCACCTACTAGAGACGCTGCAGTCAGGCGGATAGCAGTCTCTTATTCATTTCTTTTCCACTATTATTGTAACTCTGATTTAATAATAACATTTTAATTAAATACAATTAACTCTGTTATCTCTCTCGAGGAACAATCTTAATTTGAGTCAATTTATATTTAATTATTAAATGAATTCTCCTCATAAATGAGTTGCAATGGAATATTTTATATCAAAAAAGTGCCTTACTACTTTCTGATCATTTAATTGTCACTTAGTATAAATCCTGCTGCTCCGGGACTGAAACAAATCAACCAAGACTTCATTCTACTAACATAATACTCAGTATAAAAAAACTCAGTAGCACTTATCAGAAGAATACACAATGCAATAAAAACAAGATAATTAAATATAGTTATTAATAACTTTACCGTAGCAACTCCGACGCTACTAGTGATGCTATCTCGAAATCGATACAACAGTAGTCAAGAGTTGTACGTTACTCGACTCTTATCTGGTGTACGATATACTGACCGACCTATAAAATATTGTTTTTTAAACTTAATAGTCATTTATAAACATTATGTCAAATAACAAACATATTACCCATTATTACTAATAAGAAATTTTAAGTTAAAAATGTTACATGTGAATACGCCAATGTTTTTTTTTATGTGGCAATACTTAATTAGCCCAGGATAACCACTGCCGGTTTCAATATTTTCGTATGCAGAAACACCAAATTATTTACCGATGTATTTATGGTTTATGAACAAGTAGTACTTATTCAATTACTACATATTTAACGACTTCAATTTTAACTTTATTGAATTAAATCTGCCTTTGTTTACTTCGATGGACGAGTTAAAACACAAAAAGGAAAATAATCTTACTCTACTATTACTTTATTTAGTAGAGTACATTTATACCCTAAATGTAAATAAAAAACTAAACTGTAAAAATTTTACTTGCCTTGATTAAAATTCAAACACTTGAAAATTTTATCCAATTAATTTTTGTTTAGGTACAAGGTGGAAGTCGCGGGTAAGAGTCTGCCCGTACTTACCACTTTGGACAAGGGGCGTTACGGCGTGATCGTGTTCGAATCGCTATCGAAATACGCGAACATGGATAAGTGGAATCGAGAACTCCTCGATAAGTACTGCAGGGAATATTCTGTGGGTGTTGTTGCGTTCGCAACGCCTGGGGAAGAGACTCTAGTTGGCGCACAGCTGAAAGGATTCCCTCTGTTCATGCATACTAATTTAAGACTAAAGGTGAGTACTGTTTTGTTTGTACTATTATATGTACTTCTTATACATACATATTTGTAACAGAAACTTGATCTACTTTTGAAACAAAGAGATAGCGAGTAAAACACTTCTAAATGAACCATGCATGTAAACAATGGTAAATAGAATCACTAATTACAGTGCTATTTAATTGACAATCGGGCAGATATGATCAGCTACCAGCTACCAAAATAGATACCATCAGTATGTCAGAATATTGTTTTTAAAAGTTGTAAACTTTTTGTAGTATCGTAGGTAGGTACTACATGTTGTGAGTACTGTAAGCACAAAACACCTTTGTAATCGTTATGTTCCATATTCCATCACTATAATCTATCAGTCAATACAAAGCGATAGTCATTTAAATATCTAATTAAAACCATTAGAATATCAACTTTAATAATCGTGTAGCCGATAACAAGAGCTGTCAGTATTAGGTGCCCATTGTAAACTGATTACTATTACAATGACTGATCAGACGGAAACAAAGCATTCAAACATTAATTAACAGTAAAAGCATTAATAAATAGATATTAGAAAATTGATTAAATATTACAAATAAATATTACTACGTGAGGGCTATTTATATTTATTCTAATGTTATATGATAAAGGTCAAAAATACTCAGAAGGTTTATTCTTAAAAGGGAATTTGGTCACTAGGTGGGAGTTTTCCTAATAACTGACATGTCTCTGACTCATCAAATTAATTAGTTTTCGATGACAAAGAGAACTAATAGAAATTTTCAATAATTAACTAAAAATTACGAGTTACTCACGTAAATATACTGAGAAAGGCTCTACTAGTTTCGAGTCACAGAGCGACTCTTCATCATGAGCAGCGTGTACGGTCGCGGCGATGTCGTACAGTCTGCCTATAGAGCTTTGACTCGAAACTAGTAGAACTTGTAATTTTTACTTAACATGTCTCACGATACTTATTACTCAATAATCTTTTTTGATTGCAACCTAGGACGCAACGCTAAACCCAGCATCGCCAGTGCTCCGACTTGCCCGCGCTGGCGAGACGGCCTGGGGGGCACTTCCAGGCGATCACTGGGCAGTGTTCAGGGCCAACAGCTCAACTTACGAACCCGTTGCCTGGGCATTGAGGCAAAACGAATACGAATCCACTGGTAAGTTAATTTTGTATTTAATCTTTTTCTTCTTTTTACCTTATCCGTCCTTTATTTTTATTCGTTTAACTTGTAAGGTACCTATCTTATTATAGCCGCTGCACTAAGCGCTGGTGCAGCTTCATTTTTTTTTAATAAAAATAATGTTCTATCAGCACTAAAGTAAGTAGGTACTAGCTAAGTTTACCTTCATACTGGACCGGCCCCGCCGTCACCCCAATACCAAAGCTCGTAAAATTCAGATCGTTCAATGTACAAAACATTCTGGCATGTACTTTTAAATGAATCACCTGAAAGTACAAAGTAACTTTCTTATCCATCGATACAACACACGACGTATACGAGTCACTAACAAAACATGCTATTGAAAGCACAGCCTCAAAATTCAACCAATATATCGTAAGTACCGCAACATGTTCGGGTAACAACGTAAACTACTACCATAAAGAAGGAATATTACGCAACACATTACCCGATATATCGTGCTCAAATCTAATGGTAGTTTCGAATAACGTCAATTAATATTAATCACGCCCGTCATCATGTCCTAATTAATGGAAGGAATGCCATAACACTTACATAGATTCGAGCAATCTATTCGCGGCATTAACACTATTCCGCGAAGGTTTTTCTGCAAATTATTATGCTATTCGCGTAGTATATTTTATTTTTCCTTTAATCGTAGCTGTTTTGTTTTTGTTTGCTATTGTACTATGACATTGTTGTTTAGCCTTTTTTGGTTATCTTTTTTTAGCATACCAGTATCAAAATTCATTTCTTTAGTAGAGACTATATTGTTTACTGTGCGACACTTAATGTTATCACTGAAGGTAATTTCGTTCCTAACTATTCCGTAATGTAATCTCCATCACTGAACTTTAACGACTTCACGAATTTATTTAATTAACAGCTATGTTTAAACTGTTAAGTGCTCATCAAGAAAATCCCTTGTCCTTACCTTCAGATTTGATTAATCGACATTTTCGTCCATAAAGCAGGTCTATAAAAACTTTTACTCTCATAACAACGATAAAAATTAAATGACTGTTGAGTACCGATTACGAGGAAAATTAATTTTGTGCTTTAAAGAAGGTCCCGCAGGAAGTAAAAAGCAACAATGAATTAATTAAATTTAAATAATCTGTTTAATTTTAACGTAAGCCTAAAAGCTGAACGCAGCTGTTGAAACAGATTTGAAATAACAAAAGTGGAAAATTATGGCGTTACAGTCACCCACAGAAGACCGAAAATAATTATGTAAATCGCTATTACTCGTACACTCGTACACTATACCAGTTTATACGAGGCGAAGGCTACAAGCTACGCGTACGGTCACACTCTCACTGTCCACGACAGTCCGGGACAATTTGCATACATCTACCTACATTCCTCATGACTCATGAGAACAAATATCCAATCATTATCATTAATACGATTTTAGTTGGCTATTTTAGCCATCATTGTGTAATATGCTAATCAGTTTCCTCACATTGTTTAAGAAAATATATCCGTTCAAAATGCACGAACTCTAAAACAATATGAATGAATTATGTAATGAATTATCTTAAATAGGTGATTCCTATGCTGATGAAGTGGGCTGAATATAGTTATGGTTAAAGATAGGAAGGATCTGTAAAGCTTAATATAAGTACTCATAATGTAAGTCCTAGTCAGTATAAGTCAGAATTGTGTAGCAAACTCGCCTAGTATTTTATAAAGAGTCAAATATAAATAACGTAAATTCTTAATTGTGCCAATAACGTGCCACAATAAAAAATAAATAGCTCAATTTGTTTGTCATAGGTGAAAATAAATGCTAGCGTGGGTGTAGCTTACGTTATCTCGCTTTCTATGCCAATAGCCAATACAGTTTGCGAGTTTGCCCCATCCATTTCACAAAGGCAAAACAGCCCGAAGTCAACAAAGTCAATAAAACAGTACCCTAAATTATAGCAATGTTTACAGAGGAGCGCATGCCGCTAGCGACAGTGATACAAGACCACGGCCGTTTGGACGGCGTCCAACGCGTACTGTTCGGCTCGGGCCTACAGTTCTGGCTGCACAGGATACTGTTCCTGGATGCTCTCAGCTACCTCAGCCACGGCCAGCTTAGCTTGAGCCTCGACAGGTGGATACTGGTCGATATAGATGATATCTTCGTGGGAGAAAGAGGTACGTTCATAGTTTTAACCACACATTAAGTATATGTCATATATTTCATTGCACTAACTTTTATTTGAAATTTCAACATTTTCTTTCCCATCTTACAGACTTCAAGCATTTCAATAACAAACACTTAACAAACTGAGTAAACTTTTATCGTACACTAACACAGGGGTTTTACTACTCGTTTTCCTATTAACGTACATAGAATAGTTCAATTGGCTTATTTTATTACTCGTGTTATCACAAGCTCAAATGTCCTGGAGTATCGGGTCTGAATACATATCGACGATTACCCATATTCATTTATAGAAATCGATACAAAAGAGAGAAATATGGACGGAATGTTAACCACTTCCAAACGTAAAACACGAATAAATTAATGTGGAGCTCAATCAATCCAACATTGTGTAGCGTTTAGTTGCCTTTGTCCTAACTATTAGTATGCACACAAGATCTGAATAATATTAGCACCTTGGTGCATTGAATAGTAATAGGTGCCCTTTATACGTTTGTGCCTATAGCAACTAATATTCGCATGCTCCGATACGGCTCTCATGCCTAATCAAATTGTTAGGCAATGTGCTAAATAGATCCCAACAAACGTGATGCAATTATGGTTTAGTTTATTGAACCGATGCAACAACCTTGGAATACATAAATTGTTTGTTCATATTGTTATTCAAATGGTACAATTGTTCTTGGGAATAGTAGAGGTATATCCATTACAATAACAATTTGCTATGTGAAACCTAATGTATCTTTTTAATGCAATTGTGTAGCTATTACTTCTCCATGAAAATATACACGTTACTTCGTCCTCCCATTCTCGTTATTCAAGTGTGTGTGAGAGTGAGAGTGACCGTTGAAGAAACAATCTCTTTTTCGTTTTCTCAATGTCTTTGTACTTTCTTCTAATAGGAACTCGACTACACGAAGAAGACGTGGCAGCTATGTTAGCGTCACAGACTGCGCTACAACGATTAGTGCCGGGATTCAGGTTCAACCTGGGTTACAGTGCTAAGTACTATCATCATGGGACGTCACTTGAAAACCAAGGTGACGACGCCTTGTTGAGGAACCGAGAACATTTTACTTGGTAAGTTGACTCACATCATTACAATTTTGTCTAAAGTCACCCTATTTTTGTGTGGAAACCCACCCTCATTAGCTTGGCCATACTCAGAGTAACTTTACATCTGCCTACTTCGGTAATCCAAGTGTGCCAGATCACCCAGCCGGCACAGGCTGCCATACTTATCAAATCCTACGCGCTGTTTTTGAAAAGATTAGACCTCTCGTCCTTTTGGAGTCCAAAATTAGCCTTATCTTATACTTCGGTTTGTCTTAAAAAATATTCAGTTATTTTTCTTCAACAAAGAAGTTAATTAATGAATTGAAACTACCTAAACATTATTATAAATAGATGGCAAGTACAGAATCGTAGTCCCGCAACTCACGTCTAGCAATTTGATTGACCAACGACGGCATACTAGTGAAGGGCGTTGATAGATGAAATGCAAAAGTGAATAGCGTATAGAGCAGTGCTATTCTCCTGGCGGCATTAGGCACGACTCGGAGCATGGCTGTTATTTTGATTTCATGTAGATCCCATACATATGTAATTTCTTGCATCACCACTGCAAGATAGATAGTCATGTCTGTATTCACCTATAAAAGCCTTTGGATATACATTTACATGTTGTAAATGCTTATGTGATATGTATAACAATGTATTCTCTCAAACACATCTGTATCCTAACAATGAGACTATTATATGACAATTTTAAAGGGAATCCATTAAACATATGTACTAAAATAATTGTCCTTTAAATACAAATCTGGGCAGCTCTATTTTACGGACCTCAATAAGGTCACGTTCATTGTTTCGCCCCAAAACATTATAATACATTCTAATAGAAGCGGCGCTATCCGCTTTTAGTAGGTAGGTACGTTATTAGCACCCAAGGTAACAGTTACAGAGGACTTAGTTTCAGCCCGACAAGTCTTCGTAAACTTAATATGCATATGAGCGCCAAGTTTCAGTTCTCTCGTGTCTGTGTTCTGACGGTTCATTTATCAAGCAAGTATATGCGTGTATTGAGAACTTTACTAAAATATGTATTGAGGTAGAAGCCTTGTACAGGCACAAAAGGTATTTTATTGGATGTCGGCACGACGTTTTCGAGTAAATCTAAATAACTTAAGATTGTAAGTTACGCAACAAGTCCTTGCTTAAATTTGTAAGATTGTTTGTATGTAATGTATTGTGTACCTGCTTAGATTCTCGTTCTGTAAGATATTAAGGTTTACTAGGTGGGAGTTACAGACCTTTGAAGTTTCAACTGGAAAATCACTTTAAATTAAGACCATGCCGAGTTTGTAGTATTAAAGTCCCTACATGATATGAACACTGTATACAGAGCACTGTCAATCATCAATTAAATGTTAACTGTCACTATAATACTTACTTGTCAGTAAATAGCTTAGTATTATCGCAATGTCTCAAATAGATAACGTAGCATTGTAGCTCATTAGTCGTGGCATGTAACCTTATTAGAACTGACCGCTTTGTTATCAAGCTCATCGCAAAACCCCCGTTATTGTACTAAGTGGTCACAATTGCACGTATTATTGCATTATCTTAGTTTACCTTGAGCTGACCCTTCCGTCAGAGCAAATTAACACGATTATCTCTGCGTTTCTGAATTAGCGTGTAATCTTTGCCCTGTCTCGCTAATAACTGGCAAAGAAATACACTTCTTGATTCTAGAAGACAACGTACTTAGGCATTAACACAAAATCTTCCACCATTTTCGCCACAAGGCCCTCTGTGTCTTAAAAAGTCTTACGTAATATTAAACTTCTATGTTTTCGTTATGAACACATGTAGTCTAAGCTTAATATTGTACTACGCCTTTACGAATTTCGGAAATAATAATTTAGTGTTTGAAATGTTTTTATTTATCCATGGTCTACCTCAAGGATCTCTTTTTGATTGTGCTCTCAAATTGTTAACAGCAAATATCTTGTTGTCCGAAGGTTTTGTCACATGTGGAACCACCAGCAGCCTCACCTATACAACAATGTGACGCATCTAGAATCAGAGATGATGCTCAACAAACAGTTTGCCATAGAGCATGGGATCCCCACCAACTCTTGCTACTCCGTGTCTCCTCATCACTCAGGAGTTTACCCCGTACACGAACCATTATACGAAGCCTGGAGAAAAGTGTGGGACGTCAAAGTGACCAGCACTGAGGAATACCCGCATTTGCGACCCGCTAGGTAAGTTTTGTTTGATGTTACCAACTATGTCTATTTGTTCTAACTAATGTGGATGTTAAGTTGCGATCAAACACGAACACAGTTACCTACATTACCAAATATTCGTGTTCTAAATGTAAAGAACTTTGTTCTTTAACCAAACAGATATGAAAAGAATAGAAATTCCGTCCTGTTCTCGCAATCCCGAGTTAAAGATTTAATTAACGTGGCCGAGCAACGAAAGAATTTTGGGTGGAATTCATGTTCTTGCGCTGCGTTCGTTAGGTTTGAACGGGCCTTTATATGAATACTTCGTGCCATTCGTTTTCGTATTTTATTAAAGGAAAAAAGGGTTTCCTTTGTTAGGTATTCCTGTATTAGAACGTTGGACAGTGGCTGTTTTAGTATTTAATCAACGGCACACACGTAAATAACTGAACACCAAATGTGGCAACTACTTAATTAGTTAAGGACATAAACAAAGATTTTACATTTGACCGTAAATTATTAACAAACAAGCCTGCATTCAGATTACACCACGTTCATGTACTACATTCCAACAAATAATTGCTCGCAATCAATCAAGGTAAAGCATAATCACATAAAATTTATTAATGATACCTAGTTGTGATATTATCAAACCAGTAGCAATAAGTGTTCTGTTCACCCAAATGTTTGCGGTAAGTGTGCGGCTTCACCCAAACTCATGTTGACCGCAAACGTTGCGTTGGGCCACTACTCGTACCATCGCGATATTCAGGCGTCGAAATTCCAATAATTATATTAATTCCATTGCACCCGAGTATTGTTCAGCAATAGTATGTATGTTTAAATGTTCGAAACGAAATCAGTTCTGATTAAAACGGCTCTATCGTATACGGGATTGTTCGGTTCCGAGTTGTACGTACTTTGTTTGTTGTTGTACTGTTTTGTTCGAACTAAATATAGTTGTGTTGAATCTCATTCAGTGGGTCAACAATGCAATTTTATCCTTAATGTTATCAGTTTTAAACTCGTATTTTGTGTGATATGTAGTTATATTTTTGAGAAGACTAAAACACATCTGTACGCTTATAAAGATTTATACTACACAATAGGAGAGCTACCTAAGTAATAACACAATTAGATTAAATGGAATATTGATTTGAGTGCGACTGGTATCGCTCACCAACAATACAAGAATACCTCTAATAAATTCACAATTGTTGCTCCAATTGTAATGTTTGTTCACGTGTATGGAACTCTTCTACCATAAGCGATAGTTCTTCAAATATTTGCCCACAAAATGAGTGTACTCAAATAAAACGAACTTTTCATAAACAATCGAATAACCGTACTACCGTACAGTTGTATTGACTTATTAACTTGGCTCCGAGCAATTAGAGATTGTAAAACAATTCAGCTTTATACATATTGCTTAATCTTTACTTACTCCAGGGAACAGGTTTCACGATACGGAATGTACATGACGCGTTAATGTGCAGCTTTACATATTCATGTGTCGTTGTTAAAATTATGTGTGTGTTTAATATTGTCCTCGAGTGTACATAAATGCATTCGTACATACCTGGCCGCTTTGTTTCACAGTACACGCTCTACAATTAGATAATTGTGCTGTATTCCAATGCGCTCTCATGTTCTCGTATACATATTGAATTACGTCATTTGGTATCCGAATGTAAATCTAATTTGTGGTATATAAAAGTTCAATTTTCATTATTGACTCGTCATTTTCAAATTGAGTAATCCTGTGTCGTTGTCTACAGTTACGCAGAATAAGAGACGCAGTGTGCAGTTTATTTTTACTACGTGTTTTATCAACCATTAATGTTTAAAAACCTAGTACGATAGGTTATAAAAAGTTGAATGGCGTAACTCTAGCACTTACTAAAGTTTATAACTATGTAACAAAATTACCATTTAGGTACCTTTGAAACTCTTTTCCACGTTACACATTTTTATTTCAACCATTACATGCATTATGCTATACAAAGGGAACAATAAATGTATCAAGATCTTCAAGTTCGATAACTACACTGTCGTTCTCGCAATACTGAATTTAAATATAAAAAATGCTTGTCACGAGACCTAATTACTAGCTATCTTACTAGTCATCTAGGGTCATGTTCTATGTGTTTAATTAACTTAGAGCAATGTAACACACGTTGTATTAGTTTTTTACAAAGTATCGTTGTAGATTTCAGTCAGTTACAAATAAACAAAGCCACCCACCCACAATATACGTAACTCTTATTTTGTATATTTAACCACGTGACTAATATAAATAAATCTTTACAAAAAAAAAATACACCTAAAGTTTGCACGTGACTAAAACCTCAAACAATTCCACAATCATAGGTTGGTAAATATGTTTTTTTTTCGTAGGTTACGAAGAGGTTTTCGCCATAGAGGTGTTATGGTTCTCCCACGCCAAACTTGCGGACTTTTTACACACACGCTGCTACTAGAGAGGTACCCAGGCGGCCGGCATCGTCTCGATCGTTCTATACAAGGAGGGGAACTCTTCCAGACAGTCATCAATAACCCTGTAAGTACCTACAGTCATTACACGTAATTTTGGTTGCCGCTCGCAACACTAACTGGCCCCCTGAGCCCATACTGATTGATATTAAAGGAGGCGATTACAAATTACCGAGAACCATTACTGATATTTTACCATACAATAATTAAAATTTAAATTCCAATAATTAGAACTTACATAAAATTAAAAGTCATAAATGTGGAAAACGTAAAACGAACGTTAGGTAAATAAGTTATTTTGTATTTTTAAATATGGGACGCAACACATAAAGGGAGATTTTCACGATAAAGCCAGCTGCCTCAAAATATTCTAGAGCTGGCTTTCAAAGCTGTTTACGTCAAATTCGTTGGCAGTATACATTATACATAGATAGTAACACTGTGCTGGTAGTTCGGGCCGAGCGGCCGGCTGCCTCGACCGCTCTATTCAGGGCGGGGAACTCTTTCATAAGGTCATCAATAACCCGTGAGCACTTGACATGTTTGCGCTAATATCAAGCCTGTCTAACTTCTTTGTGATATTAATAAATGGCGCCATGTCTGATTTCTTTGATAGTTCACTAATAGCCTGGCTGTTTTCAACTTTATTTTCATTTTTGTAATTACTTTCTACGAATGAAAAGGGAACGTCTCAATGTCACGAAAATTAGTCTACGTTTAACGTTTGTAGTGCTTCGAACGTTTATATTTCTCTTTGACTAATTTTGGCAAAGTCAGCCTATTGTTTGTGTATGTTTTCGGATTTACATTAAAAAGGATGAAAATATTTGTTTCAAAGCTTGATTAATATCATCGAAACTTCGATAACATCAACGTGAAGAACGTTTAACTTTTAATCGATAGCTAACAGCACTAGTGTCGACAAACCGTACTTGATACGCAAACCACTTGTAGCCGTGTACAGTCGAGGACAGTGAATAGCGTTACCGAATAAATTGCGTAACGGTAGCTCAATAAATATTATGACTACTCCACTGCTCCAACATTGTGTTTCAAAACAAATACTTGTTATGGGGATGAGTGTACTAACGAATACTATCATTTATTTTATCATTCGTTTACTTTAGTATCTACTACATGGTACGTTATGTATCACGCAAATGGGTTCTTTTGTATTTAAGTGCTTGTATTTATTTTCGTAAGGTTCATAGGGTTTTTCTATTTAGTAATTAAGATACAGATTAGTTTGGAGTTATTACGCTCTTACTGTCAAACTCAAACACTATGCTCAAATGGCAGCTTAAAATAAGTCACAGTAGTTTCAGAAAATTACACAACAGTTTCTAAAGAAAAATAACGTCTTAATATACACGACTAAATCATTCCTATTCCCGCTCTAAATCCGTCCCTTATGACGTCAATGTAACAATAAAATTTCTCCACAGATCAACGTGTTTATGACACACATGTCAAACTATGGAAACGACCGACTAGCTTTATACACCTTCGAGTCGGTTGTGAAGTTCCTGCGATGTTGGACTAATGTACGGCTGGCGTCTGCACCGCCGCTTGCACTGGCTGATAAGTACTTCCAACTGAGACCCGACGAACTGAATCCGCTGTGGGGGGTGAGTGTTTATGATATGAGTTCGTGTTGCGTAACTATGCTTGGTAAATGTTTTTGATACAAGCCCAGTTCCTTCTTACTTCTCTAGATTCATTACTTACTGGCTTGTGAAAAGATTTTTCCTGTGTTTACTTTGTTCGTGCGTTTTGATTGATTTCATTTTAAACTTCATCACAATTTTAATCATCAAATGGTCTCATATTTTTTAGATATTATTTAATATTTATTTTGGAATAGTAGTTGCTTTGGACTATTTTGAAAAAACAAAACATTATCTTCGGTTTGCAGATTGAATTGTATACCAGCTAAATATCGAATACGTCTCAAAGATATGTGCATTAAAATCAGTTCTAACCACAGCACATAACTTGTTTGTGTGATGGAAATAGATAGCGGGCGCTAATGTATCGCCATCGATCAATTCCGTGTATATGACCGACTGGCCATGTCGCCCGCGTCCTGTGTTTAACCGACTCGCGCAATTTGCTGGCAAATTGTATATTACGGATTAGAGATGTATCGATCCAGTTTATGTTCTCCTAGTAGCACTAGGCTATAAACGGAAAGCTATTGGATGCATTAAATTGAATTTTAAATAGGTAATAAATAAGATTCATGAATATTATTAAATTATTTTTGGTATCCTACGTAATAATAGTAACTTGACCTTATTACGAAGTCCTCATAAAAGCTTTGTAAGGACGCAGTCGTACTTAAGTGCACTGTTATTGTTTCAATTTAGATAGAGAACGATAGAGCTTTTAGTTATTTTATACATTTTAGCAAAAGGCTTTTCCGTAGATAATATCTTGTTGGAGCATGCAACATTCAACTGACCTAGATATGAAAATTGTCCTTTATCAAATTTTGGTTTTGTAGAGAATTTGAAACAAGCCTTTTATGTAATTATATACAAAGCCCGTACCTAGGGAAGGTTAACGTTGTACATTGCCCATCAAATTAACAAACGCGTCGAGGTTCTCAACCACAATTATGTACGAGTACCTAAGCTTCCAAGGAAATTTCATATTCATCCTATCCTCCGTTACGTCACGACTAAAACAAAGGAACTCGATTTTATTCAGTCGCTATATAACACGGTTCTCACATCTGAGTGCACACCAAGTCGAATCCTTCCTTGGTTCTGACAGTTAGAGTTGTGAATCTATTAATCAGTTATTCTATTTAACAAACTTCGATGAGTCTTTTGATGCAAATAAAATAGACTGTTACGCTTTGGAGACGTCGGCTGAGGAGCTATTGTATTCGAATCAATTAACTTTCCGTTACTGTCTGACAGTTGCTCGCCCCGTTTCTGCTTCAATACATTCGGACCGTAAAGTTGGAAAATATTCATCATAAATTTTCTATCATCATTTCGCCTCGCTATTATGAATATTGAGTAAGATTTTCGTGGCCCTAAATTTTCAGTTTAAACAAATGAATGATTTGGAGGAAAACGAGTGTCCGTTTCATTTCAACTGTTACCGGGGAAATTGATAGGCACCGCGGAATATTCCAATTGAAGACAATGTTTTCATTTTAAACAGGAGTTTTGTTCAAAGTTTTCCTACACTGTGTTAAAAGCTTTTGTGACTCGTGTAAACCAATGGAATCTCCCATCGAAACTGAAGGATTATTATTATGCTATTATGTATAACGTAGTATACCTTTGCATGCTTATTTATGGAAACATTCGGTTAATGTTGTTATTTTATAAAATTCCGATGTAGGTTGTACTAAATCTAACAATAAAATTAATTAGAGGCAAGGGCACCAGAGCGAGCAAAAATGAACGGCAGGCAACATTCAGCTCATAAAAATGACTTTATGAAAATAAATATGGTATAATTTTAAACGTAATTATAATTCATTAAACTTTGTAATGAGGTCGTGCCGTCACATTTTACTACACAGCAACTAAAATACGAGTTACGTTTTGTCATTAATTAATCATTATGGCATTAAAATTTTCACATATTTAATTAAACGATAACAAAGTTACCGTCGATGCGACAACCGATCCGTGGGTAATTAATTTTATCGATAACTGAACGATCGAACGAACAATGATCGTAACTAAGCGCACGCTATCACAGGGCAAGAGTCTCCAAATCATATCGTGTTACATAAAGTGATTAATCAAAGTTCGCCAGTTTGGCACAGATATTACAATTTATGTCGAATCCATACCGATCTTATAAGCACGAGTACGCTCATATCGTTTCGCACGACGGCACGAACTTGTGAGGAACAATATGCATGTCGGGACTTTTAATATTTTATTGGGCTGCGAGATATGTGCGCTATCATTGGAACATGACAGAGAAATTGAAAATACATCACATTTTGTGCGGCGGGACATAAAAGCTCTTGTTTATTGCTCTGATAAAACTAGAATTGATATTGCATTCGTTCGTAGATGTGTCAAGATCACAAACCTTTGAATTGAATTGAATTTATAATATGTTGTAATAAAATGTTAAGTGTTTGTTGATAGACTCTAAAGTCCTACTTCGGTAGTAGGTACCTACTATTCAAGGACTTTGAGCAATGTCAAATTGTAACAAAAACATCCCTCCATGATCAATTTTCACATTGAATTCATGATAGAAAAGATTACTCAATAAATAGGTACCCCGTGTGTAGGTAACAATGTTAAAAATAAAGTGGGTGTATCGAATTAAACAAAAAAGTTTACTTTGTTTCATGTTTTTAATATATTTGTATCACGAGCTCAAACGTTTCCTCGAATAATTCATTATTAATACATAATGCTTAAATATAAAACTAGAATCGGATAATACAAATGAAAATAATATTTTCATTCAATTTAGAAATAAAAACTGTTTGCTTTTATATCTTTAATAACGAATCTTTCCGTTGAATAAAACACTGGCAATGTTAATGTGTAATCTAAATATTTATAATTTCCGATATTAATCTAATACTTACATTATTAATATTTGTTTATTCGGGTGTTAGTTGTTGATGTTGAAATTTAGATTTCGCTGTAGTGTTTATATGACTTCGTTTCCTTGGAACTTACACTAATCTAGCACATAGCTGAATAAGAGACTGTAGTCATCACTGTAAAGTATTTACTTTTGCAATATTGGGAACTGAACATATCAATGGTATTTTACATATCACATGTTGACGATTAACCCCGTTTTTGAAGCAATGAGTACAATATTAACTTGTATGAAAATCTAACAACGCGAGAGCCGTGTATTTTTTGGGATAAAATTACTATTCTATTTTAAGTTACAATCTATTTTTATCTTTCGTTAGCACATTTGTACGGACCCAACATTTAAAATGTATACATCTAAACCAAGCATCTATAATATTTTTTAAACAAAAGAAACTCAAATAAAGTCTTTCTTCTAGAATCCATGTGATGACATCAGACACCGGCGCATTTGGTCGAAGAGCAAGTGGTGTGGGACTCTGCCTAAAGTGCTGGTAATAGGACCGCAGAAGACGGGTAGTACTGCCCTGTATACGTTCCTAGCCATGCACCCTGCCCTAGCGCCGAACTTGCCAAGTCCTACCACATATGAAGAGCTCCAGTTCTTCAATAACAACAACTATCTTAAAGGACTCGATTGGTAAGTACAAGCTTTCAGTATTTTTCGTTCTTTATACATTTAAGGCGTGGGTTTTAGAGTCATCTGTCTATTGTTATACAACTATTACGGGTTTCTACTTCGGTTTCTCGTTTTTCAGAGCCTTACGATAGAAATGGCAATGTAGTGTGGGTGTTATAGAAATTTTTCCTTTTGAAGAGAAATCCAGATGTCATTTTCCTTTAGCAAGATTTTTGTTACTCCTTGTAGCATACTACGGAAAGGTACTTTCTGCCCACGGCATACCGGCGATGCTATTTTATTTTCGCTCATGTTTCGAACAGCAAGCGGTGCCGTGTTCTGCCGCGGTTCTTAGCAAAGAGGCCACTTCAGACTGCAGTACCGCGCTATAAACATTCCTTACCACACATTCTGCGGTTGAGGTTTGCCTCCGAATGCTAAACACGTGAAAATAAACTTAGCTTTGATAGATTTCCCGAATACTTATAAACCTAGTTAACTATCAATTTACAAATCAACATCTAACCATAAAAGCCAAAGTTGCAGTCGTCCACGTTCTAGCCGTATGAAAAATTTTCCACAATATTTTTCACTTTTCCCTACCAATTTATTAAGCGCGTCCAACACAGGTTTTCCGGGTAAAGTATATTTAAAGCAAGCTACGTATCTAGGCTGTAGGGTTAATTATTCTATTTACTTTATTTAATGTTCTCTTTCTACGCGGTTTCATTTGGGTAAAAAGTATTACCTGTTTAAGTATGCCGCGCGGTTACAAAGCCCACGTTCGTTTCAAAAGTGGCGTGACGCGTTACATCTCATTAATATAACAGCCGAGTTACGCTTAAATTAAAGTATTATACGAGCAACATTTAAGTTGATATTCTAACGAGAGTTGTGCGGGAATGCGACGAAACTATTAATTAGCAGTCATACGTAAGTGTGAAGCCTGATTTCCCTGAAGGGTATAAAGTACTACTAGTATAAGGTACTGTAAATGGTGGTATCCAGTTTGCTGAATTTCGTGTGTAAAAGACTAAGCTATCCGCGTCTATCGGGCACAATGCCAATCTTAAGCGTCTAGTGCTGAGAATTTTCTTCGAAACCTCTGCGACACTGCCAGATCTACGAATTGAAGCCAAAACTTCTTACTTTAGTGGTCACACTTGTGACCGCGGATCCAATGAAGTGGCGATGCCAACTATTAATTACACCCAAAAGTAACTTTATTATCGATAAAGCTAGAAAACAATTCAAAAAGTTAAATTGCTGGCATTAATATAATGTTTATCAAATGATATGCAACAGATTTAAATACAATATTATGTTTTCACAATATGTAACATTGGAAAATTAATACTTCCAAAATAAGTAAAAATATCATGTATATTTTAACGTGGGCTTTTATTAATTGCTTAGTGGGCGCCAGTTGATTTATTATTATAATATGCTTTCCCACATAATATGAGACCAATAATAAACAGAACTACTGAAAAGTGGGTTTGCCATTAACACCTACCTACTCTTGGGACAAAACGAAGACGAAACAAGTCATCTTATGTTATTTGTTATTTATATTACCGAAGTAGTTCGAACACGTTTGTAGTTTCTACATCTGAAGTAGCAGGAACTTTGTTGTGCTATATTGAATCTTACAAGTTTATGGCTTTAAAGGTTGTAATCGTGATGAAAAGGCAAACGGCAGTAAAGCAACTGCAAACGAAGGTAGCAGCCACAAATAGTGGTATTGTATATTGAACATAAAAAATATACGTCCTGAAGTCTGAAGGCTAAAATGCGAAGCACGGAAAGTTACTTAGGTACACAATACTTTAAAATGGAACAATTTCAAAGTTAAAGATTGTGAGTTCGCGTAATATGTTTCACAGCTTTTCTTCGAGACTTCGTTTAAAAGTTCAGTGACTTCGTAGTCACCTCCGAGTAGTTTGCAATGCTTACATTGTTTGTTTAGGTATTCATCCATTAAAATATTTTGCTTAACGTTAACACATATTTGCAAGTCTAATGTTTATTTTTACTTTGGTTTTAGTGATATCCCTGCTACCTATATGTTTCCACTAGGGCTAGATACATACATGCATATTATATTTACATAAGTTTAGTTTTCTTTTGATATTAGTTTTGTGTGTACCGATAACAACATAACATAACATCACGCCTTTTATCCCCGAAGGGGTAGGCAGAGGTGCACATTATGTCATTGTACAATGTAACGCCCACTTTTCACTATTTATGTTATGAGTCCCATGTAATAGAGGGTGAGCCTATTGTCATATACCGGGCATAATTCCAGACTCCGTGCTATTACTGAGATTTTTTTAAAAACCCAATAATACTTTACCCGACCCGGGAATCGAACCCGAGACCCCTTGCCCGGCAGTCGCCCTTGCGACCACTCAGACAACGAGGCAGTGTACCGATAACTGTGGTTCAATGTGTATTGTAAGCAATCGTGGGTCGATCGCAGTCACTAGCGGTTTTCCTGTGGCCATTAAGTGCCTGCACCTTCTGTATAAAATACAACGAGCTTTAATCCAATCAGTCACTGCTCAACACTATTATTATACAATTTTATTTCCTCGGTTTTAGTTTTAACTTAATGGAAATAAAACCCGTTCTTGCCACAATTATATTGCACTCGATGTTGAAACTCAGAAGTGTTCGCGTTGAAATTGATTAACACTTCACCTTTCGTATTATTTCATAGTGGTTTAATGTTTTCTAGGAGAATTTATAAAGTAGGTAAATCCGTCTTTTCACTTAGCATTAGCACTATAGCGTACTTCTTAAGTCACTATAACGTCATTTAGACCGAGTCCTGTATAAATAAAAGAAAACTATGAAGTAAATTCTCAGCGACTTAATCTTAAAGGCATTAAATTCTCGCCTCTTCTGTAGTCACTTTGTGAAAAATATCTGAATAACTCATGCGTTATCTAATATTATCAAGTACAATGGCTAGTGGTAGCTTCAGAATATGCCAGTGTGCGTTAGTTCCGTGAAGCTGAATCAACTGAGCGCTGAGACGAAAGAATGGCCACAGAAGGTTTTAATGCTTTCAGCGAATGCTTTTCTCCTTATTTAAATGACGTCACAGAATGTTACAATGCGGATATAATGGGGGAGCAAGTCTGGTGCATGTTAATGTGCATTTTAGCGAATGGAATTTAAATGGCTTTCACACTTATAAAAGTGCTTATTTAACTTGGGTACTTACGTAATCTTACAAATTATCATTTTCTTTGTTTTAATAGATACTACAACAAATACAATGCTTTCTATCAAACCCAAACACACAAAGGCATAAATCTATGTGTGTAGAGTCAATAATGCAGTTTGAAGTTTATTAAACAGCTTCCTCTTCGAGCTATAAAACACTTACAAAACACCGCCATTGCCTTGCAAAGTAAATCGTCTTTAACTATTCAAAACATCATCAATATAAATGACACGAGTTTCTCCCAAGATTCTGAATAATGAGCTCGTAAGAAGACTCATGTTTATCCGATGTGTAGCCTAGATAAGTTCTAGTCTAGACCACTAGGTGAGGCTGTGCACGTATTGCCTTGTTACCATCGTACGTGATCTCAGACCCGCCTTTACATTCCTTTGATAACCAACGAGAGATTGATTTACGATAAAGATGTCGCTAATTAGCCATTTAGACCCTTATTGTACTCATTCTATCAATTCATATATTCGAAAGCCTATGAAAGGACCGTAAATTAACTATAGAAACGGTAAACGTGTGTTATCAATTTCCAAGACTGGATTTAATGTTAAATAGGTATCGTATGTTGTTTACATACATTTTCTTAAGACGTTTTGAATAATTGCTTTCGTAATTACGGTTCAATTATAGGGAAAGTGCTTGAAGTGTTATCGGTATATTGGTGTATCGATGTTATGATGGTATTAGTAACTACGCTTAATATTTCGACTATGACTGTGATGTTTCTTGAGATTCAATTACTTAATTTTTTAAATTCAAAGAATAAGAAAATGTTCTAGAGTTTGTGGATGAAGCTGTAGAAATTATCGGTTAAGTACTAAAACTATTGGCTCCACGTTGTTACTGTGAATTTTTAAACATAAACCACAGATTTGCCTGATCTAGAAAGTGAACCTACCTAGACTGAAATATTCGGACGCTGCGTTTGAATCAAACGACCAACCGCGGCGGTCTCTTAATTAAAGTTGCGAATAAATTTAGTCTCAGGAGCTATCATTTTACTTAAAGATACTTTAAACTTGTGCCATATTTCCTAGCATTAATTTTCTCAAGGCATATTATGTAAAATGGCTTCAGACATTGAGCGTTGCTTGAAGGGGACAAAAGAAAATTGGTTGTTGCGTCTACCGCTACCGCATAAATTGTTTGACGGCTATATAAAAACGTCCTCATTTTTACGAAAACTTATATACTTTGGCACTTAGGTAGTATAATCAAAGAACATTGAGTGCTAACTGCTGTCGTTTATATTATAAGTTTCAAGGTTTAAAAAGTTTTGTACTAAAAACAGAAAACAATATGAAAAGGTACTCAATTGTTTCAAAGGTCTAAGTTTTTTACAGCGGTATTTTGCATGCCTTTTAAGCAGATATGTTTTATTTGATTAAACATCTAGTGACTTTAAAGCCTAATACTAATATTTAAATAGAAGTACTAGATAGATATCTAGTTCTAGTTAGATACGAACTAAGAGAAATACTCCTGTATGGATGTTGCTAGGGGATCTTTAAGAGCAGAAAGTCTTACAAGATATGATATAATATAACATAACATAACATCACGCCTTTTTATCCCCGAAGGGGTAGACAGAGGTGCACATTATACCACTGTACAATGTAACACCCACTTTTTACTATTTATGTTATGAGTCCCATGTAATAGGGGGTGAGCCTATTGCCATATACCGGGCACAATTTCAGACTCCGTGCTACTACTGAGAATATTTAAAAACCCAGTAATATTTTACCCGACCCGGGAATCGAACCCGAGACCCCTTGCCCGGCAGTCGCACTTACGACCACTCGGCCATTCAGGCAGTCGCATAAGATATGATGTATACTTACCAAATACTTTTCTCCGCCAGGTACTTAAACTTCTTCCCACCAAACATGAGCAACACTACGCAGATCACGTTCGAGAAGTCGGCAACTTACTTCGATGGCGACTTAGTACCACGACGGGCGCACGCACTCCTACCCAACGCTAAGATCATCGCCATACTTATATCTCCGTCTAAAAGGTAAGATAAATAGAATTGTATTTAATTAAACAATATTACGAAACCTACCAACGGCAAGTACCAATGTGACTTGTCCCAGTTATATGTACTTTCTAAGATTACTTAGATACCACTGACAAACGGTGAAGGAAAACATTCGTGAGGAAACCTGGGCTTATAATTTCTAATTATAAGTTTGATATCACCAACCCGCATTGAGCAAGCGTGATGATTAATGCTCAAACCTTCCCCATGAGAGAGAGAGAGCATTTTTGCTTTACAGTGGACTTATATTGGATTTATATGCTGTTGATAATGATGATGCTGTAACACTACTTTCGACATTACATCATTAGTAATCTAACAAAACGCCCTTCCTCTCCCCTACTAATTTTAAGTGTTGCTGTGCCCGACAGGGTCCATAATTGTTACTAATTGTATTTTCTAACCACCTGTATATGTACAGTACATTATGGATGCAATAAATACTTGATTACTAATTTCTAGTGGTTACAATCGAATATTATATGTTTGAGCTTCTGGGCTCATTCAAAGATACAGTACGTATTAAAGTTCTTACAAAAAAAATATTCAGACAAAATGTTCCAATAAAAAATGTACAGATCGATAAAAAAATTCATAGTTCATATTTTTTTACATACTGATATTTTGTCCTAGATATAATATAAAATAGCACCTTTGATTTAACTTGTAAATATCAACAATTGAAAAGAATTGTACCCCAGCTGCACAAGTGCACATTCATTTTAACTCGGCCCCTGTATATGCGCACTGGTTTGTATGTAAATCCTCTGAATCTGGGACTTAACGCATTGGCGATTCAACCGCGCACCGGTGTGTGCAAGCTACTATCATGACTACCCAGCTATTTGGAGTTAGTCTTGGTACAAATTTTCATTCGAAGTACAACGTAACAAGCAGTTTTCTTAAGTGAACAAAAACCTTAACATAACGTCACGTCTTTTATCCCAGAAGGGGTAAACAGATGTGCACATTCCGGCACTTAATGTCTCTCTACAATGTATTACCCACTTTTCACCATTAGTGTTTTGAGTCCCATGTAATAGGGGTGAGCCTATTACTATATACCGGGTACAATTCCTTAAAGTAGGTTTCTTAAATCACTACCTATTTGAAGAACAGCCATCGCATTAGTTAAAGCTGTAAATATTAAAACTTATCTAATTAATGAGACTAGAGCAGGCTTTATTATTCTAGAAACTAGGTATTAAAAAGGCAAACCATCTTAATTAACCTATCTCCTGACATTTTCACCGTCAAAAGACCTTAACTAAGTTATCTCAACAATTTCCAGGACATGCTTCTAATAAAAGCTAAAATGACTTTCCTTGTCCTTATTAATATTCCCGGTATTCAAATTCTGGGAGCGTCTCCAACTATATTAATAATAAATTTATATCAGATTCGCAAACGAGAGTCGAACGATAAAACCACACGACTGTAGCAGCAATTAAAACGAGTAACTAATGCACTTGAATCTTACGACGGAATTAGATGTCGAAAGAAGAAAATATTTTATCAACCATCCGACAGGCCGCGTTCATCAAAATGCAAATTTTAAACCTGAATTTATATCCGCGAAGTTTTCGAGAAAATTTATTTGAATACGTTTGCCTATTTTTATTATATTGCCTAGAATAACGTCTGATTTGTTTCTAATCAGTTTTCGATTGACTACATTTTCACTATAGCGAACAAAAAATTATTGCAGAAAAATATACGTTAAAACATCCACCTACGTAAAAACGAGGATAATAAAAACTCACCGATATTTCAAGAACATGTCGAGGTATTTATAGATGCTTATCAACCTCATTCCTATTCATCTAATGTTCATTATATCAAATTCGTACTATGTTTGAGCTTACACAGACAACATAATATGTCGGTCGTCTCTGTTCTAATTGTTGCAACACCAAATGTGGTTATTTACGACCAAGTTTAATATGCTCTGTAGCGAACTACAAAGGAGCATAAAGTACATAGATACGTTGTAATTAATTGCTCTACGTGTTAAGCATCTATGAATTGAGGACATGGTTAACAAAGTGTTTTATGAAAAATTGCCTCGGAGATTCGGAGTATGAGAAACGGAATGTGACTTAATTAATTTTATATTTCATGTCCGAATTCTGATCGCGATGGTTAATCTAGTCTCCAAATGTGGACGACATGTACAATACCAAGGAATTACGTTCCTTCTCTAATAATTCGGCGAGATAATAAACATACGTTTTTGTGCTCGCCAGGTGGTGCTTTTTATGTATAAAACGCCTTACCATTAGCTGCCATTGTAAAAAGTTTAGTGTAGTAATAGGTTTGCTCGATAGACCGGCACTAGATAGATTTACACGACACTAATGCCATTAGCAACGGAATTCCTCATTCAAAGGGATTACGAATTTGCATCTACATTGGTCAAAGCACCCGTGATTAATCGAATTGCCACTGACCGTTTCTCAGTCTAAAACGCAGTACTTATTCCCCCGACCTCAAGGAAGATCATTAACTGAAGTTCACAAAAAGAAAATGTTTTCGCAAAGCAAATCAAACGTAAAAACCGAAATAAAACAAAAACATTGACGCAAATCTATCTTGTGTAATTCGTCATTAGTAGTCTTAAGTAAATTACTGTCGATTGAGGAAAAGCGTGGGTCTGCAAAAGAAGATCGTAACTCAAGCCAGTAAAACTGCTCGCTCAAATCCGAAACGTTATTGCGGTGCCGGCGTCAAGCATTGGCTGTCTTGAATTTATACTCTTCAATACTACATTTTTACTTGACAAAACACTTTAAAATATATCCTTTAATATGATTGCCTTCGATTTCTAGCTGTGTGAGTAAAATAAACTTTATTTTCAGAGCGTAGGGTTCAAACAATGAAACAACTTATAATATTTTTGTTACTTTTATAATATTTAGAATAGTACTCATAATAATTATTGTTTCCAACCTGTTATCATAATAAAGAAACCTATAGTAGATATTATGTATCGATCGTGAGAACAACTTTGTTCAAGGTAAAAACTAATGATTTAATTCCAATGTTGTGATCTAAGTCATACCTACGACGGAGGTACCACTTTAAAACTGCTATGTGCTGGTACAGATTTTCATATACACACTATTTTTACTTATAATATTATATCACAGTTTTAAATACTCCATTGAAATTTAAATGGTGCGCTTTTCATCACGAAATTAAAATAAAACTCCGAAATATTCGCTTAATATTAAAATGGATTGTAAATCCCTGTATATATGACTGTAAAACATTCCCAAATAAAAACTGTTCAATTAATACAGGACCTACCTACATTTCCACTACGTTGCCTCCAAATATGAACAGAACGAAAAAGCTGTGAGACTCCTGTAGAAATTAACGAATATTTTTAATATCACAGTAACGTGTCGTGCTCTGAATAATTTACATTAAAATCCGTGTGTTTATTGTGCAGAGCGTATTCGTGGTACCAACACATTCGGTCGCACGGCGATGTGGTCGCCAACAACTACACGTTCCATACAGTCATCACGGCGAATGATTCCGCGCCAAAACCCCTCCGGGATTTAAGGTAAGCATTTTCTCTATTTTAAAATATATATTTTTAGGTTACTATGCTATATTACAGTTTTACGAAGTATATGAGTCTGTGCTGTTTATTAATTTAATAGGAAACTGCGCTAAGATAATATTATTTATCATTTCTGTTTTCCTTATACAAAGAAGTCACGTCCCGGATTACTACTAAGCCATTTAAATTGTAAAGCGCTCAAAACAAACGTTAAATGCATGTTCTTTGTTCTACGCAGCAATAAAACTTCTCGGATGTCGGGAACAACTACAGCTCCCTAATATAGTCTCTCGTTTTTTCGATCTCAAGCAAAAACGTATATTTTACGTCCGCCTTCGACCCTCTCATATTGGATCACAATTTTTCCACGCGAACCCCGGCGCTTGTACATTAATAACAAATGTAATGCCTTCACTGTACTATTATTTCATCCCCTTCTACTCGTTTATACCATTTGGTTCCTTAACTTCACGCTATTACGACTTGGAGGAAATGGGGGACTTATTGACTTACGTAATCCCGCTTGAAGGGCCAATAGGCATGAAAACGATTTAGTTTCAATTAACAGCCCAACTTGGTATGAATAGCCAGATACTTAGGCTATGCTTTATCCTTATAGTGCAATACATTTTGGCTATCATTTATGTACCGTTACATAGTCATTTATTAATTCAATAAGACCACGTTTAACTAAAGTTTCGATCATTCCATATTCGAAAATGATGAAGTGATTACTTCGTTCAGAAATCAACGCTCTTAAAGCTTTATTTGCTTTTAATTATGAAAGATACTCAAATACCGCATAATATCCTTAGTTACATCGTAGCAACAATATAAATAACACCTTAGATGTGCTATAGCGTCTGTAATCCAGGCCGACTCCCCAAGACTACGTGACGGCACATCTCCAAAATCCATTTAACATTAAAATAAGCCAGTTATATTTGTGAGCGTGCGCCTCAAAGATTATTGTGTACTTGACAGCGCCATGAATTTATTATCAAGCATCACGCGCATTTCCTCCGCAAGCTAATGTGCTCAGAATGGATTATTAAAATTGATATTGTTTGTATTTTCTACCCTAAATATTATGAATTTTGTTTTAATGGAGAATTTATTATGTTTATTTTTCCTCGAAAATCTAAATCAAATGTCCCGTTCACTTTAGTTCGTGTCTCCGATATCCTTATTTATTTTTTGTTCTATTAAGACTTCCATGCATTCATAGAACAATTTATTCTTGTTCTAAGTAACTATGTAAGTAATATACCACTTCAATGCCTGTACCTCTTTGTAAGTTCCAGTTCTTTATACGTGTTCATTGTTTTCGTAGAAATCGTTGCCTAAACCCAGGCAAGTACAGTCACTACCTGGAGCGCTGGCTGGCGGAGTACAGTAGCCATCAGCTGCACATCATCGACGGTTCGCTACTGCGATCCGAGCCTGCTGGCGTCATGAACACGCTGCAGAAGTTCCTCAAGATATCACCGCATATCGACTACAATAAGTTGCTCAAGTAAGTTATCACTGTGTTTTATCGTGAAGATGTGACATGTAATATTTAATGAAATAATGTGATACTCAAAGTTTTTAGCCTTTATTTCTGCTAATACAGACACACACAATCTACCTACCTATAATAAAAACGGGCGTGAGCCTGTGTCCCATGGGAGTAGGAAGATACCAGAGAGACAGTGCTATATTTTCTTCTTATTATTTTCAATACTCAATTTGGTAATGTAATGGATTCTATAAACTCACACCCGAGCAAACTCTTTGATCTGATTTGAAATAATTGTATTTAATAAGATAATTTCACCACCTACTCGTACAGATTCAAAGGTCACATCTCATCGCGTGGGACTGAATGCTACATTTTGATTCCGAAACTTTATTTATATATGCCTCCGTAATTAGATATTCTGACTTATCACTGTCAAATAATTGTAAGCTCAGCAAAAATAAATACGCTTGAGAATTTTATGCAAAGATAACGCTGTTTAAGTACATTAAGTCACGCCGCGCTCTTGTTCCGACATTGTATTATGCTGAGACAACGAACTGGAGAAGATACGAAGACATAAAGCTGGTACACACCTTGTAAAGTGATATTGTTCGGTCGCCGCTAAGACCAGCAACCTCTACAACTTGACTTGACTTGACTGCACGGTTGGTGCGGTGGCTGGGCAACCGGCTGCCGTGCAACGTGTCGCGGGTTCGATTCCCGCACGGGACAACACTTTGTGTGATCCACAAATTGTTGTTTCGGGTCTGGGTGTCATGTGTATGTGAACTTGTGTGTTTGTAAACGCACCCACGACACAGGAGAAAATCCTAGTGTGGGGCAACGTTTTTTTAAAAAAAAAAAAAAAAAAAAAAAAAAAAAAAAAAAAAAAAAAAAAAAAAAAAAAATGGCCCTTTAAACTCTAAACTCTAGGCGCACAACTTCGTAGAAGCAGCTCGCTGGGACTAATATCACTGCATAATGCCCTATCTACATAAAGCAGCTTGTTGCAATTCTAAGCCTTTCTTAGGAAAATAGCATTTCGTTCCTCGCTGTCGGACTCTCTACGAATGAGTACGTTTTCTGTATCGCATTCCTATTTTCAATTGTGTACTTGATTTCATTTAATACTAAAATAGGTTCTGATTTAGACCTCGCCATATAGGCTTTTGTCCTCTTCAAACCGACACAATGAAGTCTATGAATAATATATGCCTAGCGAACCTAAATAGTACGTATGGTTTGCAATAACTGAAAATCACGCTCGCTGGTTCGGACAATTCAATCAAAATAGATGATGAAATTATTGAAAGACTCACCAAATAATAGACATGGGCACGAGAAAGGAAATTTAGCAGGAGAAATGTAGGTAAATAATGTAGAAGATGGATCGTTTGCCTACTGTCCTGTAAATAATAGTCCTATGTACACTGAACGTCAATAGGATAAAGGTCTGGCGTGATGTACGAGTATTTAAGATAGGCAAATATTTTACTCAACATTTTTGTTTCAGATACGATGCGAAAAAAGGATTTTTCTGTCAAGCAGTAGGCAATGACAGGACGAAATGCCTCGGCAAATCCAAAGGCCGGATATATCCGCCGATGGAGGAGAGGTCTGCTAAGTTCCTGAAGCGGTACTACACGCCGCACAACACGGCGCTGTCCAAGCTCCTCGTGAGGATAGGCCGGCCTGTCCCCCAGTGGCTCAAAGATGAACTGTCCTCCAATGGATAGCACACCTTGCAACCTAAAAGGTTGGCACGAAACAAGGTGTTACACGGCTTGATCAAAGTCTGTGTCATCAGCTTCCCTTGACGAAGCCAAGGGTCGGCGATGTGACGGCAGTCCTTAAGTTACAAACTGTGGGCGTCGGTCGCTAATCGCGCTGTACGCAATGTTGTTCTTTCCAAGTGTTTCAATGTGAGAGTATTCTTGTTGAACAAATATCTTTGTCTATCGATTCTTGTAATATAATGTTTTAAAGAGTGATATTAAACGACTTAAAGTTCTTGATCTGTTTGGACGGGATGAAGAATGATATTATTGTTTTAGTTTAAGTTTATTCAACGTAGGGTGTAGTGAATGACTGTGTGTTCCCAATGAAACGGTTACGATTCGACTTTGCTTGCCTGATCATGTTGTTTCTTAGCCATATTTATATGGACTGTGTCCGACGCACTCGTGTGCCGGTCTAGGTGCTATTTGTTAGTAATTTCATTATACTCACATGTTTGGTTACTATGAATTCATCTTGTGTTTATTAGACGCAAATATTTTGTTATACCATCATGATTTTATGCTAAATTGATAACGCTTCGTAAAACTAATTAAGTATAGATAATTATGAAATATTTTATGTTATACATATAACATATGAAATGGTTGCATATATCTTTCATTCCACGCTCTAACCGACCGTCGCTACACGCTTATTTTAATGATATTTTGTTTAATCACAATGTACGTACCTGATGCAATTGTAAATTTGTAGTTAATTTTGTACGTTTCATATAGTGTAGTTGTAACGTTATTTTTAACAATCTCCTTGTCTTTCTGTGCCATAATTATAAAGTGAAGGAAGTGGCACTGAGACGTATATTTTATTTTAATTATTATTTTTATTTTTACATATTATTATATTTTACAATAGATACACACTAGTCTTTTATTTAATGCGGCAGAATCACATTCGTTGAACAGTACCACAGGTGGGCAGTTCGTACTACGCGGGCTGTACATACTAAATATGATTTCCACACGTCATATCCATTTACATTCAGTTACCGAATTAGCCGTAAGGATTTTTAATATACATATTAAAGATGTCGCGTTATATTTTAAATAAATGATATCAATGACGACCCAATGGAAACATAAATGTATTTGGTATATATTTTGATATGCATAAATTTATTGGCGAGATAACTCGGCAAGGAAGATGAAAGTTTTTGTAAAACTGATTCAATATAGAATGTTTCTTACTCTTTGTTGTAATAGATGTCGGTACTTAAACTTGTAAAAATTCTTTTCTTGTGAGAACTACATAGAGTACAGAAGAATATTACGAAATCGATATTTGAATATAGCGTTAAATATTAATATTTTATGGTACATACGTTTATTGTCTTTTATTTAATGTTTGTCGAGAGGCTTCATATTAAATTTATATAACTTCTGATGTTCTTGATATATTGTGAAGATGTGTGTTACGTAGAAACGGCCTTACAATGTTTAGAAGCGATCTGTGGAACTTGTTACGGTGTTGCAATTTGTGAACATGTCTGAACATGGATCGTTTACATCAGTCATTGCGACGTTGACGAGGACGCCAGCTCCTCTCAACGGTTTATGTTCTGTTCAGAATTTACTACCAACTTTGTATCAGTTTCAAATCAATAACATTGCCCATGTTAATTTTACATACCACTTGTTATTTTGTTAGAACAATTGTTAATAACAATACAGCCAATGACTGCTCTTAAAATGTGTTCTTTATAAGAAATTAATACATCACTTATTTTATTAAATGATTTAAACCTCATTCGTGTGTTTGTGTTCACGATTTAACCCTCACTACATTCCTGTGTGCTCCAACTCGAAGTAATTCAAATTATTAGCAGTGTAATGGCCCCAGCGAACGTTTAGATAACGGCGCGGATCTGCACTACAAGACCGTTCAAGCGAGACATGTAGATATATTGGATCTCTTAAATATCCTTCCGTATATTTGCAGTAATACGTAACACTGTCAGTCGAGTGCAATTCTGAAGAGATACAACCTAACCACCCCCGAGCGCCTTGAAAAATGTATTACTATTGCTGGAGTATTGTTCGATAGTCGATACAGAGCGCTCGCACCGGGAAATATGCTCGGCCATAAGTTGCGGTCTCGATATGTGCATACTTAAACAAAAGAAACGCATTAGCTGCACTCCTTTGTTCCTCTGAGTGAAGGAATCGTCTGCAAACTACCTCCGATATAAAAGAATAAAGATTATAAAGAAACTAAAAAGTCTAACAAGATTACAAAGTTAGATTTGCGTCGTAGAATATCAGGACAACACGAATGCCGTGACAAATTTCAATAAACGATTGACATTGATAAAATTATGGCGAATTATAGAGGACATATTGTCAATCTCATTATTTATATTACAAGGTATAAGTTGATATAATATCCTATTACAGTTAAATATTTACAATCTAAATCAATCAGTTTAAAAAGCAACGATAGCTGTAAATAAAATAATGAGGTTTGAATACAGTACCTAGCACCCACAATACAATAGTTATTCTAAACTTTTCATTCTTAGATAGCTATCAAAATTAACAGGTTGTCGAAGAACAATCTTCCAAAAGCGTACTTACCTAATCATAGAAATAATGCACCTACTTTTCCCAAGTAAAGTTATTAATCCTATTACAAAAGAACGAATTCTTAACTACCCTTATAAAAACCTGAACTACTCACATAATTAGTTGAACCTAAAGTTTTACACTCCATCATGAAGTATCAAAATAAACTTCGTATATTGCGATAAACAAATAGCGCATAAACCAAAATCCGCATAACATAAACTCAATTTTTCACTAGTTACCGAACTATTTCCATCCGATACGAGCGGGGAAAGTTTGGGAAACGCTTATTACGCCTATAAGTGAACCTACCTACATTAGCAAGAAAGCACGTATTCTGCCCTAGTTCGCAACTACATCGGAGTTTCTATTGGTTGGTACATCAGATATACGTGTACTTTAAACATGAGTTAGGTATTCTTGTGCTTTAAACACTGTAATATCAAAACGCATCTTATAAAGAACCTTATACCTATATTATATGTACCTACTCGCGAAGAGCAAAATGATTTACCTACCAGTTTTCTTAGTAACAAGATCGTTGCGAATAGCTCACCTACTTTGTAAAGTTTATGCTTTGAAAAATTGTATTAGGTACATACCGTACTCCATCATAGACCGAGCTGGTGTCTGTACGTGCACTCCAAAATTGCTTGGTAAGCATCCTTTATACCTGCACTTCTAAAATGAAATATTAAATCTACTTCATCTACTAGAATGTGTTCAGTTCTATCTATCATTAGGTAGTAAGAATATTATTACTTCCAGCGTATATGTTATCTAACATTGTACAGTGCACTTAAAACCTAATCTCTGCGACCTACTTTCCTTAGCAAACTCGCGAAAAAAGAAATGTTTCCCATTTTTTTTCACCATAACTTCGAACCGTTCACAGTTTGATCATGTCGGCAGCAACTCACCATAAGTCAACTGAAGAAGCAAGCTCGCATCATAGCTTTTATCTTAAAATTACGACAGTGATGGATGACTGGTACCTACATAATTCATTTATCTGCGATTAAGGGTCGGCCGCCTGATGCTCGGTAGCGGCTGCTTCATCAAACTAACTATAAATTGACACGTTAAAATGTTAGTCTAACGTCTTACAGCGGCGTCGATGTGTTCTCTTTAGCTAGAGCGTTGCTTCATTACTCGCTAATTACGTTTAAGTATACCTGATGCTGTGTACTTAGTGGAGCTTATGTATTGGAACACTACTCCAGCTCGTGCGATCAATACTTGAAGTCTTATTTATGCAAAGGGTAGTGAAAAGTTAAGGTAAGAAATGAATAAGCATAGTTGGAAATAATGTATTATGGCCACCTAAGCCATAATTTTGCTGTCAATGTTTTAGGAAACTCCTAACTAATTTGATAGTCCAAAAAATATCTGTCCGTGTTGCATAACATGCTTATAAAAATATTACGAAAATGTAGATGCTGAGTGCGCGTAATGCAATATAGCAGCTAGGTACACCTAGCAGTAACAAAATTAGACGCGCAAGAAAACTTCCAGCTAGTTATTTTTATGAATAAACGGATTTAATAAAGACGGAATAAAATGAAATTAAGTTGGCTAAAGCATTTTACATAAAACGATATTAACTCTTTGCCGGGCGTAATAAAAATGTCTTAGAATGTGCACGGGAGCGCATTTGCATCAACCAATTATATGGAAGCTGTGTTACTGGGTGTTATGTACGTAGAGGTAGTTGAGTACGAGACATTTTGCCGTTTTATGACGTGACGACGCCAGCGAGCTTTATTACAAAGACCGAGATAATGTCGCTCCAAATTCTGAGATGTTTGGTCCGTGATGTGCCTTACGGGAGTTGCAATACGGGTTGCAGAATACGTCCATTCAAGAGCAGTATTCGGAAATAGGTGAGAGGCAGCATCGCGGTGCCGACTGTCGAGTGTTTGTTAGAGCTGGTGATAACGCGAGTTTGACGAGCTTCTCGACCTCGCTGCAGGTATTCTATCAATTTTTGATGTTTGTTTGATCATTACCTTCTAGAGTGCATCAAATGCAATACAAGAAGACATCGATTCACTATTTTACCAACGTGGGTACACACAATTTGTAGATACATTTGTTCCAAGCGAGTTTGTTGTGCACATTATTTCACGTTCGAATGCTTGTTATTTTATGGAGACAAAGACTTTGGATACAGTTTATAAATAGACATTCAATTTACCTACGAATAACCTTTTAGTAATAAAACCTGAACCTGGCAAATAAATTTTGTAAAAAAAATATAACAAAGATGTTGAATGTTAATAATAGGTACCTACATCTCTTAATAGAAGCTTTTGTTTACTTACGTAGATAAAACAATATTATTTTTAATCAAGCTTTATTTTTTGGGTTTATTATTT